GCTTCAGGACATTGTCGACCTCCTAGGGCCTGAAAGTTTCCTTTTCTGCAGATTGAGGGAGATGGACTTCATGATTTTAAAGGGCCCTCCTGTCTCCAATGTTTCCTGGCTCTTGAGTGACTTAATTTACCAAAGTTGAAAGTGTAGGGAGGGAAAAGGACCAAAGACAGCCTTGGGACATACCTAGATTTAGCAAGTGAGAAGCCGTCAAAAGAAGACCAGACAGACAGGTAGAAAGAAAACCAGCAGAAAGTAATGAATGTCACAGAAGGCAAGGGAAGTGAGAGAATTCAGAAGGAAAAGATGGTCCACGAAGTCAAATGCTGCAGAAAGTAAAAAATGAAAAAAGATTATTCATTGGATTTGGTGATTAGGGGGCCACCGGTTTCAGCAGAACTCTGATCTGAAGGTATGTTGCTGGGGGTTCAGGATTTAGCTGGGGGGAGGGGAGAGAATAAGGAAATAGAGGCTGGGAATGCGGACAAAGGGCGGGAACCAACCAGGTGGCATGGGGTCTAGGACTTGAGAGTAGATTTGTAGCATTGTGCCAAAAGGTACAACTGTTTCCCAATTGTGTCAAGGAACAGAGAGGGTGGAAAAGGCTGAAATTTCAGCGGCAACCTTCTGCAGCTAGACCCAGAGAGGTCTCTGTAGGAACTCGCTACAAAGGTGGGTTATGATCCCTCTCTAGGGTCATAGGCCTTCAGCTTGGAGGCCAGGGGATGGGCAAGATGACCTTAGGAAGGCTGCCAAGGAAAGGCCATGTGAGAATTTAGAAAATAGAAATCCTGGGATAATCCAAAAACCTCAGTTTCACCAAATCTCAACCTCATCTACCACCTACCACCTTTCTCTAGTGCCTCTCTCCTTCAGAGGAGTGAGAACTTCCTAACTTTTCTGGATAGTGCACGTAGGTGGAAAGCATACCAGATTTGAAGCCAAAAGACCTGGGTTTGAATGCTGCTACTTACTCGACCTTGGGCAATCCATTTCCCTTCAGTTTCTTCATCTATAAAATGAAAATCTTGGTTCAGATAATCTCGAAAGTCCCTTTCAACTCTGATTTTTTTCTCCATAAGCAGGAAAATGGCCCAAAAGTCGAGACCCAGAAAAGACTCCCGGACCCCAAAGAATGGAGGGTTGGCTTTGTATCGTAGTTCAGAAGGAGGCAGGCCTTTGTAGTTTCTGGTGTGCCTGTATGTGGGGTTGGGGGGGGGGGAGGCTGGGAGAAGGGCCCACCACTTCTGGCCCTGGAAGGAAGGAAGGAAGGGGTCAGCATGCTACAATGGAATGAACATTGATCCTGGAGACAGAAGATGTGGGTTCAAATCCTACCTCTGACACTATCTGTGTAACCTTAAGCAAGTCAATAGGTACCTCAGGACCTTAGTTTAAATGAGGGTTTTGGACTAAATAGCCTTTGCAGCCCCTCTGTGATCACCTCTCCCCAGAAATAAAGATAGGGAAAGGAAAAAACCAAAAGTCCCCAGAATCTTGGCCTGGGGACTCAAGCAAGATGCAGGGGTCGGGGAGGGAAGGAGGAAAGGGTCCTTAGGGAAGCTGATCCTGATTCTCACAAACAATGACATGCCCCCCTAGTGGCTCCCGGGATCATTTTTTACATCCTTTACAACCACCTCCCTCCTTTTTCCTTCCAAAAATAGATTTCTTTCTACCTCACCCCACCCCCTGGAGAGAATTGACCCATTCTCAGTGCCTGCAAGCTCTTCTCACCCTGCTCCAACCCAGGCACGCCAGGGAAACGCCCCTGCCCCTGTTAGCACGTGTGCTCCTGTTTCTGTATGTTCCTCTCTGTCTTGGAGTCAGTGGCTCCGTTTGTCTGTCGCTGTGTGTGCCTCGTGTGCACCTGGAAGGGGGCATGGGGAAGAGGAGAGGTACAGGAAAATGAGGCTGGGACCATGTCCCCCCTGCATTCCAGGAGAGTTTGGGGAGGAAAACACCAAGACCCTGCTTCCTGAGCCTGGTCCAGCCCAAGGCCATGAGAGGGAGTGGAGCCCTGGAACATCACTTGACTTCAGACCTAGGAGTGGACAAAAACCAGACTGGAGGTAAGAAAGGAGACCTAGGCTCTAGCCTCAGCTCTGGTGGATGTGGTCCTTGAGTGGGTAAATCTCTTCCCTTCTCTGGGCCTCAAGTTTTCCCTTCTGAAAAATGGGAATAAGAAATAACCCAGGTTGGTGAAAGAAATTTTTGGCATCTCCCTGTGGAAAAAAAAAAAAACGGCATGGACAACCAGACTTATAGCTAAAACGCCAGGGTTTGAATCTTACAAGTTGTGACCTTGGGCCATTTCCTCAACTATAAAATGAGGTTGCTCCTATTTGGTTGTGAAAAAAATATTTCGTAAGCCTTAAAAGTGCTATGCAGATGTTCAGTTGTTTTAGTCGTGTCTGGCTCTTTGTGACCCCATTTGGGGTCTTCTTTGCAAAGATACTGGAATGCTTTGCCATTTTCTTTTCTAGCTCATTTTACAGATGAGGAAACTGAGGCAAACAGGGTTAAGTGACTTACTTACTCAGGGTCACACAGCTAATAAGTGTCTGAGGCCAGAGTTAAACTCAGGAAAATGAGTCTTCCTGACATCAGGCGCAACACTCTATCTACCGTGCCAACTACCCACCCTACAGGAATAGGATGCTATTATTTTAATTTGCTTTGGGATAAGTAAACTGACAAGTGCTTCAAAGGGTAAAGTATTATTGGGACTTTGGACAAATAAATCCCTGGGTCTCAGTTTCCTCTTCTATAAAATGGGGAGAATAGAAACTTGCCCCGGCACCTTCTCAGGGCTCTTTAGAGAGTCTGTGAATAAAAACATTTTGGAAAATACAAAGTACAGTCCAGAATCATAAATAGAATACTATAAACATTTATTAAGCACCTACTATGTGCTTAGCAGGCACCCTGCTAAGCATCATTAACATTTTTATTTTATATAAGGAATTAGGTCAGGTCCTGCAGCAAACAGCACCCCAGACCCCTCCCTTCCTGTGTCCTTGGGTCTGTCCCTGGCCCGATGCCCAGTAGGCAGGTCCTCACTGTTGCATTAGTGGAATAAGAAATTAGCTCAAAGGGTGGGGTTGGGGGAGTTGGGGGGGGGGGAGTAAGGAAGCCTTTGCTGTTTGTTTTTGCCAAAGATCCTGGGATGCACATGAATGTTGGCACCCTAGGCCCCAGTGGGACAAAAAACAATGAGCAAAGCCTTAGTTCCAGCTAAAGCTGGGTGCAGCAAAAGTGGCTTCATTTATTTATGTACTTTTTTATTGGTTAGTTCAGCAGCCCCTGTAGCCTTGCCCTGTTACCTCTATTGCCAAGCCGCATCTTTGGAGAGATGCCCAGTTTGTCCAGGGCGTGGCAGATGCATGCAGGCAGTCATGCCAGGTAAGGACGCTCAGCTTGCACAGTGGTCACTTCCTGGATACCAGCCAAGGCCCTGCCCCATCAAAGATGGCTCTCCCAGGCCTCATCCACTTCCGCACCTCCAGGAGTATCTGGGGGGAGGAAGGAAGGGTCCCAGGTCCCTCTGCCTTCACCTGCACCCCCAGCCCTTAGAATAAACTACAGCAACAGCTTCAAATCCTGACAGATCAATCTGCAATGGACCAGACCTAAGAAAGAAACGGTGACTCATTCCCCAACGCCAAATTCAGTTTCCCATCATCCTGAAAACTTCCCCCAAATCTAGGCTTCTTCCAACTCTCCTTCCTCTACAACCCCCCCCAATAAGCTTCTGTGAGCTGAGAAAGCCAGCACCTGTTGGACCCCTGAACTCAGTGTCCAGATTGGGGTGAAACATGGATCAGAAAAGAGTCAGAAGGGTAGCCCCAGAGCCAAACTGGGCTTAAGCGAAAATGAAGTTCAATCATTCATTCATTCACTCAAGATTTATTAAGCCCTACTGTATGCCTTGTGCTGGACCCTACCAGAGATACAAAAATTAGAGAAAGTTTTCAGCATTCCCTTGGTAATAACTGCTCCAGCTGCCCCAACCTCGGGTGAATGTCCGCCCTTTGAATCGTTCCCCCAGCCCACCTTCTCACAGCAGAACCAGAGAGGAATCCAGAGACAGACCAAAAGCAGGAACCGAAACAGAGCACCAGACAGAGTTAACGGATTTGGAGAGCCCTCTCCCGACCCTCCAGGGGCACGGAGATGTCATAGGTGGACTGAGTTCCCTCCCAGACCCAGGCATACACAGACAAAATGGCCTTCTGCCCTGCAGCCTAAGCAGAGATCTATTTCCCTGCGGGGAATCAGGAAACTGAGTCACAAAAATGCTGGGGAGATGCCGGACACCCAGAGCTTCTCCTGGGCGTGGCTGGAGTCCCAGCTTTGAAGACCGCTCCTTGCGGCACCCAGGGCCACGCCCTGAGATGATGCCGCCACGGGGTGGAGGTTGGGGCCGGAATCCCACTTTACTATGGGACTCTCAGTAGTATCCACGGTGCAGCGAACACACCCAATCAGGCACACATATCGAAGGCCAACTCGCTCACAGACCCACACCCTGGGACCTCATATTTCTAGAGCACTTTAAGAAAAAGCTTTCTTTCCAACAACACTGTGTATGGGGTAATAATGAGTGACAAGTATTACCTCCGTTTCTCAGATGAGAAAACTGAGTCTCAGAGCGGTAAGTGACTTGCCCATGGACACACGGTTAAGTGTCACTGTCAGAACACTGCTAACCCGGGTCTCCAAACTCTCTTTCCACTACATCAGACCCAGTCATACACGTTGTGAATCAAAGTCACACACACCAAAGTCATGCACATGGAAACAGGCGTCAAATCACACATTCCCCACCCCTGCTTCCCAGGCACACACAGAGGCATGGGCCCAGGCACACAGCCCAAATCACACACGGACACAAAAGCGCGCGCGCACACACACACACACACACACCCCAAGTCAGACAGATAAGCACCACCACCCTCGGCACCCCTAAGGAAAACAAAGCTAGGAAAGAGAAAGCGCACCACTGGCAGGGGATCCGGGCCAGTTGGGAAGCACCAGGTGGAAGCAGTCGCACATCTCGGCGGGTGGCTGCGGGCCCCGATCGGCTCCGCTCCGGTCTGCCCTGGCAGGGTCCACGGGCGGGCGGACGGCGGCCGGCCCCGCACTGACTGCAGAGCTCTGGCAGCCAGGTCCCTAGCCAGGCCCCCGATGCCCACCCCTCCGCTCCCTGGGCCCGCCTGGGTGGGGCGGGGCCAGACCAGAGTAGCCCCGCCCGGGCCACTGCGGAGCAGGGTGGGACAGACTGGGGGGCGCCCGGTGGTGCTGAGGGCCGAGGTGTGCGCCCTGCTCGGATTCATTCACCTCATTGGTTCCTGCGTGTGTATGACCCGCCCACAGGGAGGGGGGGTTGGCGCATGTTGATGGGCGGGACCCCAAGTGTCAGAGCCGGCCGGACTCAGCTTTGGGGTGAGGGTTGCCTGCCTCCCGAATTCCAGACTTGGGCTTGCTGCAAGATGAAAAGGAGGCCCGACCAAGAACCCTAACTACAGGTGGCGCGTCTACACCAGCCACATGCATATTGTAAGGACATCATAGAGGATCTACAGGGCGAGGAGGCTAGAGCCACACGGAGGCCTCTACTAAGGCCTCCCCTGGAGTGTGCCTCAATTCTAGGCTCTCCTGAAGGGAGAAAATGCCCACAGCAATTTTAACAAATCTGAACCTCCATGTCCCCACACTTTCAATGATTCGAAGACCTCTAAGCCTCTTCCAAATCCATTCTATTAAACAAATAAATAGGTATTAAGGGTGTGTATGAGAGAGATCTTCTGCTGAGAGTTGGAGATTCAAAGACAGAAAGAACTAAGACCTTGATTTCAATGAGCTCGTGGTGGAATAGAAAGGAGAATGAGATAAGGGCAAAGGGGAAATAGAGGCAAAGTAGTGTGAGAAATTTAAGGGGGGAAACATCCCTTTAGCCAGTCAGTCAATAAATGTTTATTAAAACAGCTACTATGTTAAGCACTGGGGATACAAAGAAAAGCCAAACACAGTCCCTTCTTTCTTTCTTTCTTTTTCTTTTTTTTTTTTTTGCCCTTTTTGGTGAGGCAATTAGGGTTAAGTGACTTGCCCAGGGTCACACAGCTAGTAAGTATCATGTGCCTGAGGCCAGATTTGAACTCAAATCCTCCTGACTCCAAGGCTGGCGCTCTATCAGGTACCCCGAAGTCCCTTCTTTCAAAGAGTTAATGGGGGAGAGAAGATACAAATAACTACAGACAAGCAAGCTAAGTATAGGATAAATCAGAGATAATCTATAGAAGGAAGGCACTAGAATTAAGGGGGATCAGGAAAAGTTTCTTGTAGAAGCTAGGATTTCAGCTGGGACTTGAAGGAAGCCAGGGAAGCAGGAAGTGGAGATGCATTCCAAGGGTGGGGGACAGACAGAGAAAATACCCAGAGTCTAGAAGTGGAAAGCTCTCTGGAAGATCCAGGCCCTGAAATACGAATTGGGCCCTGAAAGAAAAGTGGGACCTTGAAAGATTGAAATAGTATCTATTTCAGGGCTGGGAACTACTAACAAAGGTACAGAGAGGGTGGGATAAAAATGAGAATAGAGCATCCTGTTTGTAAAGAATATAAAGTACTCAGGGGAAGCATTGTGAGAGAAAGCTGGGCAGGTAAACCTGAGCCAGCTTGTGAATGCAAGCCTTGAATTCCAGTCAGTATTATATATTTTATTTAATAGACAGTGGTGTTGTCTTCTTCCCTGCAGAAAGTACTAAATATGGCCCATAGCGCCAAGCTTTTTACCAGTTCATGCAAGGGGTGTTGATGCCCCACAGCCTGAGAGAGGTTGGTCTCCTATAGCTACCTTCATCCTGGCCTCCACTGAGCCTATAACCTAGTATCCGGATGACTGGTTGAAAAGTAAAAGATGAAAACCCAACATTCAACGGAATTCAACCCACCCAGGTGTATAGCATTATCTATGCTAGGGTTTCCCAAATCATTTGACCACAGAATACTTCGGAGCTTGATGTCCATTGATAGAACCATACATATTGTTACAAGGGACAGAAAAGAAGGTGGAGGAATTTTAGACCAAAATAGGGGGCCTCACATAGCACTCAGTACTTCCTCTAACCATATCATATTGTGTATTATAGCTATCACTATGTCTTACCCTCCCTTCTAGACTGAGAACTCCATGACGGCACGAACTTCCAGAATCAAGCAGAATTCTCTGTTCTTAGTAAGTACTTAATAAATGCTTATTGAATGAATGAATAAAAGCTTATTTTCATCCAAAAATCTGCATGAGAGCTATATTTTTGATACTTATGGAATTGTATCAGGCATTGTGTTTGTCATTGTGGATAGTGGTTTAAATTGGAGCTCCAACACTCAATTAGCTGTATGACTGGGCAAGTCACTTAACTGCTCTCAGAGTCTTTTTTCTTGTCTGTATAATTGGGGGTGGGGATTGGCCTGAATAACCTGAGTTAACTAGATAAGAGGCCCTTTCAGCTCTAAGTTTCTGATTTTATGAATTTGATATTTTGGAGGAAAAGGTAATATGTAGACTCAGAACTGTCTAATGGAGATAATCTTCTACCTATGAATCCTAAAATTTAATCTGTATTATTGGCTTTTTCTCCATCACTCTATTATGTCTAGACAATTGACAAAATAATAAATCAAGCCGTATTTGTAGCATTTGCTTATTTCTGAGATGTAAATGCTCACACTGAAGAGTTAACAATAAACTCAATTGTGCCCAAACCATATATCAAGGCCTGCTTTCCCTCTACTATGTGATGGTGGGGCCATCTCCTGTCATCCTGATCTGTATCTTGCCACTGGACCTAGATAGCTCCGGAAAAGAAAGTGAGGCTGATGCCTTTGCACAGCCCTCCCTCGCTTAAATCCAATTCACTTGCAAGTCATGACATCACCTTCCTGATGTCACCTTCCTCTTTGAGAATGAAGGACAGACAACAGCAGCAGTGATGCTCCCAAGAGGGTGTGTGGCTTTCCCCACCCTGTCCCCCTCTACACAAGATATGATGGGAAGATGCTCTGGGCCATTTGAACAGCCATACTCGACTAACCAAAGGAAACTCCTAGAAACAATTTGCAAAAAATACTGGGGTATTTTGTCAAGCTTCTAGACCCACGGAGAGACATACCACCTGGGTGCCTGGGGAGGAAAGGTTAATGACACTTGGGCTGCTGCCTCAGTAGCCTAACTGAGGAGGGGCAGCATCGATGCCACCTGCTAAGGGATGTGGAGAACAAAGGAGGAGCCTTGCACAGAGAAACTTGGAGATCCAGCACATGCTGCTGCCCTACTGAGCACATCACTGCATGTGTTGGAGGCCATGCAGATCTCTGGGGAAGGTTTGCTCATGGCTGGGTGTCATTATTTTCCAGGAACTCTGCTGTGAGTTCAATTTGATTTCCTGGCCAGTAAATGAAACTTTTCTTCTTAGAGATTTTTGAACTGAGTGTTTGTAAGGAGTTATTGACAGTACACTTGCTAGTATCCTCACAGAGTTAGATTCCCAAATTTTCTGGGTGAGGTCACTGAGCCAGAAAAATGAGAAAGCCCCTCAACTGAATACAGTTGGGTCACCTAAGCGCCTCTGCCACAAGGATTACACCAGTATTGTTCTAGGCATATGCTAGAGCTTGCTTGAAGTAGCTCAAGAGAGCCAATTTCCTGTTTCAGTGTGATGATTTACACTTCAGAAATCAGCAAACGCTACAGATCAGGTCTTGATTTATTCTTTTGTTAATTGTCCAGGATTGAGAAAGTGATAAAGAAAATGTTAATCATGTAAATTAAACTTAAAAGTCATGTGTACATTTTTTTTGGAAAGCTGGTTATTTAACACTTACCAACACATTTCTACATAATTCCCAAACATAGCTAATCACTGAACTAAATTCAGCCAACATCGAATTCTCTCGTCAGGGCTGTCATATAGAGGATTCATCTACAAGGTGGTGAATTGCACTGAATGTGGCCTCTGAGATTTCTTCCGGCTTTGAAGCTCTTTGACATGCTATGTGACATGACCCATCTGAAAGCTTGAGTTGAATGTGACCATCTCTGCCCTACATGCCTCCATTCACTAGTGCCTCCAACATTTACTGAGCATCTGCTGTGGAAGAGGCTTTAGTACCTTCCTATGATACCTAGCTCCCAGGCTCTCTACCCACTTCCTTCTCCTGATGAGTCTCCCTATTTCAGCCTGTTCCCTCAAAGACTCCTCAGTCTCCCTATAAAGAAACACTCCCAAAATAGGAAGAACAGACCACCATTTCCAATAGGATTTTTCCCCTAGTAGTCTCCTACTACTCACTGGTCAGTGAGCATTGTACGGAATGGGGCTGTCTCACTGACTATATCTATATAGTAATAATAGCTGACATTTATTTATATTGCAGGTTGTGTATATTGGAGGCAGTGTAGGGTACTAGGTAGGCCACTAGATGGCACAGTGGATAGAGTTCCAGGCCTAGAGTTAGGAAGACTCATCTTCCTGAGTTCAAATCTGGCAGTCAGATGCATACTAGCTATTTGACCCTGGGCAAGTCATTTAACTCTGTTTGCCTCACTTCCCTCATCTGTAAAATGAACTGGAGAAGGAAATGGATAACTACTCCAGTATCTTTGCCAAGAAAATCCCAAATGGGGTCATGAAGAGTCAGACACAACTGAGTGACTGAACAACAAGAAAGGGTAGTGAATAAGGCATGGGGTTGGAAGCAGATACCCGGGTTTAATTTCAGCTTCTAATACCTTGACTACCTATGTGACTATGGACAGATCACTTAACCTCTGTGTGCCTCAGATAATTCTCTATTTTTTTTTTACTAAGACACATGTTTCCAATAGTGAGAGTTCTCCATACTGTTGACAAAACCGTACATTACACATTTGCAAATTACTTCATTTTAATCCTCTCTTATTATTATTACTCTTATTTTATAGGTGAGGAAAACGAGGCAGGGAGAGATGGAATAACTAACCCAGGTCACATGGCTTCTATGTGTCAAAGGCGGAATTAAAACTC